CGCCGAGCGCGGGCGTCTCTTGCCGGCTCAGCCTCTGTCCCGCTGTGTTCGCGGCCGGGCGCCAGCTCCCACCTACACCCGCCGCAGAGGTGTCCCGCGAGGGTCGGGGTGGTTCACCCTCGGAAGTGCTGGGCGCGCTTGCAGGAACGGAGGAACGAGTGTCAGACGGTCCCGGGCCCTGGCTCGGCACCGGGAGCTCCCCCTGGGGCTGGTCGGACTACGAACACAGTGGTCACTGCCTTCAAGCCTATGGCGCTGGGCTGCCTGGATAGAAACTGCCCTATACTAGATGTGCTCTGCTATGAAAATACTGTGTTAGGGAGACCATCTCGAAGGGATGAAATGCATTTTAATTGTAATGATAGTCGACATGAGAGCTTCAGACGTGCCCGGCACCCGGCACGTTGCACATATTATCTCATTTAATTCCAACAACAATCTCATTAAAAAATTATCAGACACAAGCTTACTTAGGTCAAGTAATTTTCCCAAGGCCACCCAGATAGGAAGTAGAAGGGCAGTGGGGCTAGCTTTTTACTCTGGTACTTTGACATCCCAGACTGAAAATCTGGCCTTTCATTAACTTAGGGGAATCCGAGAATCCCGAGTGTTTAAAATTAGGAAGGTACATAACAAGCCCATTTAATTCTTGTGGGCCTCATAGAGGCGGGCGGTATTGTAATTAAGGGAATCGTGTCGTAGAAAAAAACTGTTCCCCTCTATTGGCTTTAGTTCCTTTACATGTTCTTTTATTCCATTGAGCTTTTAAGTATGTGGGTGTTCACCTACAATGGAAGCTGTTAGAGTCACTGAAGTGTTCTTACAATCAGAGCCCCCTGAAGTTACAGAGAGATGCTCCTGACACATCATAATTTTAAGAAAACTTTTTTTTAAAGAAAAGGCAGTATTTTTATTTAGCAAATGCTTCTGTTTCAGGACCCCAATCCTGAATGTCCTTTTAGATTATTTTGACTGCAGAAGAGTTATTTCTCACATCGGATGTGGATTGGAATAGAACCCCAGCATAGAAACCTAGAAAAGCATTCAATATCCTAAATATATGGGAATGTGGGGCGCATATGCAAAGGTGCTTGACGTCAACCAGTAGTAAAGAAAAATTGAAATGAAAGTGAAATCAGCTATTCCTGGCATAGCTTTTAGAATTATTAATCAATTTATTGGAAAAATAGATTCATTTTGTGTTTGTAATACCACGGACTCGTGATCTTCTTTCAACCTTCTTTCTACTTTTTTTATAGGAAAGCTGGTAAACATTTTACATATTTCTGGAATTACAGAGCTAAAGTAGAACTCAGCTAACATTATGTCTAGCCCTTTGAGTTTCAGAAGGAGAGTGGTGGTCCTCAGAAGGGCCGCCCAGTCTCTGTTCAGGGTAGCGATGTGATCTTTGGATTGAATGCCAGTGCCCTTACACCATATCATTGTTACAATGCAGTGACAGTAAATGAAAAGGAAGTCATCTTTGGAAATACAACTTCCTGTGAGGCCCATACGACTACAGTGACAATAATGGTTAGATGTGAGTTCTTAAAAAGTGTGTGAGAGGACACTGAGAATGTGTACACCTAGGCTGTAGAAAATTTCCTTAAGGATCACCTCAAGTAAGGCTTTTGTGTAGACATAGTTTTCCTTGAATAGAATCTGTAGCTGTGTTGTATATTTGCAAATGAGTTATTTAATCGAATGCTAGAAGCAGCTTTTCTCTAAGACATTCATTCATTCATTCATAAGTATTTACTGAGTGTACGGCTTCCTTTTCTAGATATTGGGGAAACTGTGGTGAGCAAAACAGAATTTCGGCCTTTTGGGAGGTTAATTCTATTTTATCACCCCTACACACATTTTCTTTTTAACACCTCAGAAGTGCACAGCTTGAACTTGTACCAACTGAACACGCTGGTGCCATTAGCCTCAAATCATGAAACACAATGTGATAGACCCTGGAGGAAACCTCCCTATGGCCCCCAGTAGTCACTACTCCCTTCAAGGGTCACTCCTGAGGCACCCATGCCAGTGCTGTCACCGTGCACCATAAGGTCCTGATTTCTGTCGTGCATCAGCAGCCTTGGGAATGTCACCCCCATTCCAAAGAACAGTTTGCATTTGAGCAGCATGGCAGTCCAGAGCAAGCTTAGCTGTAATGGAGAGCTCCTAACAGGTTTGTCTACTCTAGCAAGTGTTGTGTGTTTACCAAGGCAAGGTCAGCCCTTACCTACTGAGGTGATTGGTAAAGAGGAAGTGGTTTGAAAATGATTGAAAATTTTTAAGTACACGTAGGAGGTCTTTTTATTTTAAATGTCATGCTTTCCCACCTGAGTCTTCCTGGCAGGTGAAGACAGAGGTGACACCTAGATGCCATGGGCAAGAATCTAGTGGCTTATTTTGTTTAACCCGTTGTTGGCTCAGGCAAATGAAAGCCCGTTTGGTTTAAAAATGCCTCAATTGGCATCAGAAGCTGAAGTTTCTACCACCCCTCCAGCTTTATTGAGGTATAACCAACAAATAAAAATCGCATATATTTAATGTGTACAAATTAGTGTTTTGATATAGATATATGTTGTGAGATAATTACCATGAACCAACTAGTAACATATCCATCACCTTGTATGTTGCTTTTTTTATAGTGAGAACATTTAAGATCTGTTGCCTTAGCATATTTCAAGAATGCAGTACAGTATGATTGACCATAGTCATCATGCTGTACATTACATCTCTAAAATGTATTCTTCCTACTTGACTGGAACGTTGTACCCTTTGCCCAACATCTCCCCATTTCCCACCCACAACCCACACCCCTGTCCCCAGCCCCTGAAATCCCCATTCTACTCCCTGCTCCTATGAGTTTGGTTAAAGTTTCGAAGAATGAAAAATGCACCTAAGTCAATGATTATTGGTTTTCCCTCTCGAAATGAAAAAAATCAGGCTACACGAGGGAGTAAAATTCAGGAATGGCTTTGCTTCCCATTTTAGCAAATTAAATCCTTCACTATCAAGTTATTTATTTATTTTTTGTTTGTTTTTTGGTACTGGGAATCGAACTCATGACCTTGTGCTTGCCAGGCAGGCACTGTGCCTCTGAGCTGTATCCCCGGCCCTATCAAGTTATTTTTAAATGAAGGGATACATATAATATATTGATATAAAATATGATGTTATTGCTGAGTTACTTTTTATTGTTGTAAAAGACATACCATATACAGTTTATAAACTTACCCATTTTAAAATACTGTATACAGTTTAGTGACAATAAGTGCAGTTGGGTTGTGTGCAGCCGTCACCACTGTCCATCTGCAGAACATTTATCTCCCCAGATTGAAACTCTGTGCCCACAAGACAATACTTATCCTTTCTCCCCCTAGCTCCTGGCCACCACCATTCTACTTTATGTCTCTATGACTTTGCCCACCCTTAGTACATCGCATGATTGGAATCATAGAGACTTTGTCCTTTTGTGATCAGCTTGTTTCACTTAGCATAATGTCTTCAAGATTCATCCATATATCAAAATTTTCTTCCCTTGTATACATATCTCATTCTTATATACCACATTTTGTTTATTCATTCATCAGTTGGCGGACACCTGGGTTACTTTTATCTTTTGGCTCTGTGTATGATTCTCTGTGAACATGGGTGTAGAGTACAAATATCTGTTTGAGTCTTTGCTTTGAATTCTTTTGGATTTATAACCAGAAATGAGACTCCTGAGCCAGAAAGTAATTATATTTTAATATTTCTGAGCAGCCACCTTCTAGTTCTGTATAGCAGCTGTATCATCTTACATTCCCACCAACTGTGCATAGGGGTTCAAGTTTCTCCATATCATCACTGACACTTGTTACTCTCTGTTTTCTTGATAATGGTTATCATCATAGGTATGAGGTGCTGTCCCTGTTACTTTCTTTCTTTCTTTCTTTCTTTCTTTTTTTTTTTTTGGTACTAGAAATCGAACTCAGGATCTTGCACTT